CTCTTCCTTCAGCGACCGGATTCGGAGCTGGACTTTTTCCTGGGCAAAGACAATGACTTTCCTGAGCAAATCCGGGTTTCAGAGGGGCAGCCGTTTGAACCGGGAACGTTCAAACCCGCTCCACTCCACCCGGTCGAATGCATCGGCAGCGCGTCCACACGCCCCGGGCTGGTGATTTCGAAATCACGGGCCGGCTGTTTCGAAAGGTGTCCGCCTGCTTTCCTCGGGGACTCGCGCTGAGTCCGAAATCGTCAGTTCGGAAGCGCGGCAGGGTGGACGCGCCAGGGTGGCTATTACAAAATAAAAATAATGATGCACCGGACTCCTTCAAAGGGGTTAAATTGATGAAAATTGCCCATCTCCTAGAACTGGAAGGGACGATCATTGAGTCCAGTCCTCACAGCAAGACCAAGCACCATCCCTGACAAATTTTTGCCCCAAATTCCTAACTGGCCTCCGCAAGGATTGAACTCACAACCCTGGGTTTAGCAGGCCAATACGGTCATTGGGTCCAGCTCCCTGCCTTCACAGCAGGACCAAGCACCATCTCTGACAAATTTCTGCCCCAAATTCCTAACTGGCCTCCGCAAGGATTGAACTCACAACCCCGGGTCTAGCAGGCCAATGCTCAAACCACTGAGCGATCCCTCCCCAGCGCGCTAGTGCTGAAAAGACCATGACTCCACTGAGCGCCAATGGCGTCGCTTGTTTCGCGGAGAGGGGGCAGGGCAGACGCCCCCTTGGGCTCCGTCTGCGCTTACTCGGCTCTTCGTTCGGCACGGCGTCCTCCCCGCGCCGGATTTGGGAATCCCCCCCCCCCGCCGCTGGTGGCAGGAGGCGGACGGGGACGGCGGCGCCGTGCGCCCCAAATCCCAGGCTGGCTGTGCAGCGGCGGGTGGCTATTTCGGGGTCCGCTGGTCTCCCCAAACTGCTCTGCCGTGTGGATGTGACCTCCCAGACCGACCCGGCCGCTCGGTGTTAACCCGGCCATCGCCTCCGGCCAGGCGCGTTCCTCGCTCCCTCGGCCGGCGGCCACAGCCCTACCTTGTACGCCTGCGCCGCCTCCTCGAGTGGCACCACGGGGTGGCTGCGGTGGGCCTGGGACTCCCGGCAGACCACGCAGATGGGGGCTTGCTCCTCCTGGCAGAAGAGCTTCAGCGCCTCCTGGTGGGTGGGGCAGGCGCGCGCGCCCCCGGCGGCCTGGCCGGCCTGGGCGCTCAGCCGCTTGGCGATGGCGATGACCTTGGCCAGCTCCCGGTTGGGCCGGAAGTTCGGCTGGGGGGGCGGT